GCCCGACAGCAGGAATTACAGCACCTTGGCCCTGGGGTCTCTGCCTGGGGCCAGCGCTTGGGGTGGGCTGCGTGCACAGCTCCTGCAAGTTCCTTTTTGCTCCGGCCTCTCACTCATTCGTTTCAGTACACTGCTGGCTGCTGGCTGTTCTTGGCTCTGCCGTCCTGTGTGGACGTGGAGCCCTTGGGCATATCCCAAGGCCGGAGGCTGCATGTGTCACTGACTCTGTAGGGATGGAAAGTTTCTTGCCATCTCTCTTCTAAACCCTGTGTATCTCCCATGTTCCTTGGGTCTGCTGCCTCTGAGGCCTTGGCTTCATCCCCTGCTTCTCAAACAGTAAAAGGGAAACCTGGTTCTTTTATCTTTTATCGTTTTAGTACCTCCTCTCAGCTTGGTACCAGAAGTCTGGCACCAGAAGTGCCCAGGCCTTTGTGCGCTAAATGCCCTGTCACTGTGCATTCTGCGGCAAAGGAGGGCTCAGCCCTGGATCTCCACCTTTGGCAGTGTGGGAGGGGGGCCAGCGCTTGGCAATGACAGCTTTTCATGACAAGGTACCAAGTCACATTCAAGCCAGACCCCCTTGCTCTCCAGTGATCCTGAGTGGACTCGAGTTGGAAGAGCTCCTTCCCATTTTATTGTTATGTTTATATACAGACACCTCTAATAAGTCATTTGTGTATTTGTTGATCTGTTTGTTTACACTTTCCCCTTCTTTGTCCCCAGTAAACCCGTGTTAATAGCTTGGGGTTTACCCTTCCTTGTTTCTCGATAACACTCACACGGGCGCGCGCGCGCACACACGCACATATACATGTTTTAGAGTTTTGGGGGCTTTTCATGTTACAGAAGTAGTTTCATACAAATTTTTTTCATCAGTGCCTCTTGGAAACCCCTCCCCGTCAGTTGGTCTGATTTGAGTTCGCTCTTGTAAGTAGCTGTGTGGTGTTCCGTGGTGTGGATTCACTGTCAGGTAGTCAGCCGCCCCCCCAAATCCTATGAACATCTGGCCTTCCTCACCAGTGCTTTATGTCCCTCGTGGGATGGGTTCCCAGGAGCAGGGCTGCTGAGGGGAGGGGCACCTTCAGGGCTGCCGCCACACTGCTCTCCAGAAGGGCTGTGAATTCACATCCACCAACAGTGCAGGAAGACACCTGCCCTCGTCCTGCTTGGTTGCTGCTGCTACTTTTGACTGTTACCAGTTTGAGGGCAATTGAATGATTATAAAGTGATATTTCATGGGGACTAATTCTCATTTCACTCACTACTAGTGATTTTGAACCTCATTTTAAATGTTTGTTTCCCATTAAAATTTAGGTGTTGGTGACTCTTTGTATACTCTGTGCATCTTCTATTGGGCTGTTTGTGTTTGTTCATAAGAGACCAGTGGATGTCGTGGGTCTGAATTTTGTTAAATTTTTCTTCAAGTGTATCATGTGAGTGTTATATTTAAATGGTTCCCTCTGTTCCTATTTTGCCTAGAGTTTTTATTCTGATTTTGTAAAATGAATTGGAGAGTTAAAAAAATCTTTTGCTACAGCTTGGAATAATTTAAATAACACCTAAATTTTCTGTTCTTTAAAGGTGAGATAAAGATGTGAACCCATCTAGTTAAAAAAGGAAAAGAACTTGGACCCGTTTTATAAATTATATTCTGTTAGGAAATCTTCCCTTTTGTTGCCTTTTCTAACTTGTTTCTATAGACCTGCATGTAGAGTTCTCTTATATTCTTTTCTTCTCTTCTGTATTCAGTCGTTTGCCGGTCCATTCACTCAACAGGTATTTACTAAGTGCCCAGATGTGCTGGGAAGTGCCTGAGGCATTGGGCTATGGCACTAAGCAAGATGCAGAAGCCTTTCATTTTTTGGAGTTTCCGTTCCAGTGCTAGGTGTGAAAGAGAAAAAAAAGTGTAGAAGGAGGGGGCTTGAAGGGTCTGGGGGGTGTTGGAATTTTAAGTAGAGTGGCCGCAGATGGCCTCGGGAAAGGTGGCCTTTGAGTAAAAAGCTGAAGGAAGTGAACAAGTCAGCTCAGCTGGAGACAGAGCATCCCCACTACAGGTGAGAGGACCCTGAGGCAGGAGAGTGCAGGGGGCCGGTGTGGCTGGGGCCAGGTGGAGGGGGCTGG